GGTACTGAAGGAAGAAGTAAAAGCAGAAATGAAGGCATTGGCAAAAAACAAGGCTCTAAGAATTAGAAATGTTTCTACAAACTGATGCAGAGATCCTAACACTCACAAATCTATGCCAAGAAATTTGGAAGACAGCTATTTGGCCAACTGAATGGGAAGAGATCCATATTTGTGCCCATTCCAAAGAAAGGTGACCCAACAGAATGCAGACATTATTGAACAATATCATTAATAAATATCATAATAAATAATATCATAATAAACAATATCAAAATAAATCACAAATAAAATTTTGCTGAGGATAATTTAAAAATCATTATAGCAGCACATCAACAGGGAGCTGCCAAAAATTCAAACTGGATTCAAAGAGAATGTGGAATGAGGGATATTACTGTTGATGTCAGATGGTAAAGATGTTTACTTGTGTTTTATTGACTATGCAAAGGCACTCAACTGTGTGGATCACATCACATTATGGATAACATCAGAGGGGTTAGGAAAGAAGGAGGAATGGAAACAGGAAACACAGGGAGGAAGTGGGATAAGTTAGGCTACATTGTGGGGACAGCGATCAATGACTGGAAACAAAATGCATATGAAGAGTTGAATGAAAAAATGATTTGCTCTTTAAATATTTACCCAATTCAATAAAAAGTTAAGAGAAAAAAAAGAACAAGAAACTTAGATTATCCTCAGACTTTTGAAGAGCAACACTTTTAAATCAGAAAAAAACCTGGAGACTACAATTAAGATAATCAAAAGAGGAAAATATGAACCAAGGATTTTATATGCAGCAAAAATCCTGGTGAGGTATTGTAGGATTGGCACTGTACTGTGAACCACAAGGTCAGCAGTTCAAATCCACCTTGGAAACTCGATATAGGGTCTCTGAGTCAGAACTGACTCAACAGCACTTAACAACAAAACTGACTTATAAGCATAATGGGCATACACTGTTTTCAATATTCAAGAACAGGGAATATTGTTCCTATGATCCCTTCCTGAGAAATTTACTAGAAAACAAACCTCGGACCATCAAAATTCCTAGACATTGACAGAATTATAAGTGGTGAGTGATCAACACATAGTCATACACAGCATAGGGCTTGTTGAACTAAGTGTAAACAAGGCTTAAAGGGAGAGTATGAACTAGCCAATAGCTTTAGCTCAGACAATGCAGAAATAGACCATATAACTATTTTAAAATATGGAGAAACTGTCACCTCCCAGAGAAGCTTAAGGAGATAGGACAACTAAATATAACAATGGCATTCTGGGTAGGATCCTAGAAGAGAAAAGGAGGCATTAGGAAAAGTTAAGGAAATATGAATAAAACTTGTACTTTAGCACATAATAATGTAGAGTGCAGGAAGCGGCTTGGCTTCTGCTGTTTAACACGGTCCCAGCAGAAAGAGAGACATCATGCAAATCAGGTGATTCTCAGAAGCTGGCTTCTATCTTCCTTTCAGGGTAACTCTGAATTCACTTGTGAAAATATATAATATTGCCATATTCACAGCTTTTACTGTGAGCTCTACAAACCTTGGGAAAAAACAATGATCTCAACTTCAATAGCCTGAATTCAAAGAGAATTGTATAAGCAACTCTCCTTCACAGAAAACCTAAGTAGAAAGCAACTGCAATTGTGAGACCACAAAAGCATATAGCAAACTAAAGTCAAGCTGCCCTACCCCTATAGACCTCACCACAATCAGTCACCAGCCAGAATTCACAAACCCCTACATACAAACACCTGTGTAAATAGGCAGAAAATAATGAAGTTAAGTGAAGGGTAGTTTTAACTTGATAATCTACATTTCCTGCAGCAATTAGCCAGGTTGGGCTTTATTCCACAAGCTTCAAAACATTGTTATCAAGCAATTAAATGAATACTTTAGAAAAATAAATAAGTAGATGTTAGTAATATTTTTACTATGAAAATAGTAGTACATTATGTGGGATAGGAGATTGATAATTAGTTAGTAGAAATAATAAGGTAGTGCAAGCATTGATGATTAATAGAAACTTATGTTACTAGGAAAATGTAATCAGGGGTCTGATAGTAGAAATGATTTGTGTAAAGTTTGACTTAATCTTTTAGTGGAAACAAGAAGAAACAATTTATCACATCCTGGGAAAGGCGATGAAAGTCAGTTTGAACATCACAGAAATATTTTTGTCAAAGTTGTCTAATGACGAGGTGTAAGTATATTGTGATAAACTGTGTAATAATTCAAGGAAAGATCAAAGTAGCAATTCATTATGTATTGTGTGATTTTAAGTATAAAAAATAAAGACTTGCTAAGCCGGGCCAGAAGCACAGAAGAAGGAGAGAGAAAAAGACAGAGAAAGAGAGCCCTATCAGCCAACTAAGCAGAGGCTCTGGATTGCTTTCATTTTCGCTGACTCTGCATCTCCTCTCG